AAGCTTACTTTTCCTCTGTAGGTATATCCCATATGACATTTTTCTGTCACCAAGTTGTGAGAGAAAAAAGTCACAGAGTTCATGGTTGGGAGAAAAAATAACATTCCATCTCGTCCAGCCTCCCTTTCAATGCAGGCAACCCTTTTACAACATTGGAGTGGGACGATCACTCAGTCTTAGAGAGGGCTGGGCCAGGGCTGTGTGGCTAGAGACCTTGCCTAGCATGCACTGGGCTCCATCCCCCCTCAGCAAACAACAACTTACAGAAAGGAGATGTTAAAAAGTAGTGCCAGGGACTGGGTGGAGAACAGAAAGTAGAGAGCATCTGTGTGGCTGTTCACATTCCCTGCAATATGTGACCAGTTGGGAAATAAACAGCATCACGATGTCTAACTGTCAGACCCAGGTTACTGTGGTAGTTTCCAATCAGAGAAGCTTGATCAAGCTTTCTTAACCTCAGCACTTTGCAGCGCCATTTGGAGCATTGTTGGGGGGCAGGGCTGTCCTGTGCATTTGAGGTCATTGAGCAGCATCTCTGGTTTCAACCCACTGGTAGCACTTGTCTCCCCTCCACCCACTGTTTTGACAATGCACAATGTCTCAGACATAACCTCGTGTCCACAGTGGTGGGGGGAAGAAGAGGGACCAGCAGGGCATAATCACCCTCAGTTTTGAACTACTTGTTGAAATAAAAAAAAAAAACCAAAAACGTATCCTGTGAGATTCAGGATCCAAATGGTTTACTATATAAAGAAGTAGCTAAGTCATTATTTCCTCAGTCAGAAAACATAGTTTTAAAACTGACAAAACATTAGTGTAACTCTCATGGATTTTTTTTCGTACAAGTGTGGAGCAAATATTTGAGTTCTGAGTTCCTCATGCCTTATTAAGTGTGTGAAAATAGGCTACTGCAGTAGGAGTCACTAAAATGCAAATACAAGAACCATTTACCTAGACTCCAAGACACTCTCAATTTTCAGGTGCACATCCATTTTTAACTTTTTGGTGAAACATACATACAGAAAAGTGCACATAGGAAAACATGTGCTGTATCCTCAACGAACTGAAAACGTCCTGTCACCAGTAACCACATTGAAACAGATTGCCAGCACCCGTTGGCCTTCTGGTACTCCCTTCAGATTCTGCCCACCCCCATGGGTGGCCAGTGTCTTGATTTCCAATGGCATAAATTAGCCTTGTCTGCTTTACACTGGCTTCTTAGATATACACCCACTTGACAGAGATCTTCTTGCATCCCATTTCCTTAACGAAAACTCACTGACCTCTCCCCCATTTTTACCTCCAGCTGAAACCTGGTTCTAAGGGCCATACTCATTACTGATAGGCTATTTACACAGAGTGTAAAAACAGCTCTTGCCTCCCGTAACATTCCTCCCTTAATGCCATCCCTCTGTCCATCCTTACTGATGCCTCCCCATTTTTTCTCATCTCTGGAAGCTTCACTTACTCAATAGGAAGTCAAAATTCTAAGGGTCATCTTGACTCCCTTTCCCTCAGGCAATCCATCCACAGTTCTGTTGCATTTGCCTTCAAAGTATACATAGAAAGTCTCTACTTCCTACCAATCTTTACTGCATCCCCCAGGGTTCAAACTAGGGTTGTCTGTTGCCTGGACTACTGCAGGGACTATGGCATGGTCTCCATGCATTTGTTCTTGTCTCCTTATGGTTCATTCTCCATACAACAGCTGGAAAGAGCTTTTCCAAACTTGAGTTCTGTCATTCTAAGCTGAGAAGCCCTCTATGAATAAAATCCAAAGTCTTCTTCATGACCAGGATCTGACTTTTCCCTCTAACATCACCTTCACAGAGACACTCCCCTCCATCAAACCAACCGTGACCGCACCAAAGCCATTCCAACCACTGGGCCTGGTAATCCTTTTGCAGGACTTTCCCTGATGCTCCCTCATTGTATTCAGGTTTCACTAGGCGGAAGCAGTGCCTTCTGAGAGTCTGCCCACACTTCTAAATCACTCTACCATCCTGACCCTGTTTTGATTTTCTTTTTGGCTCTTACACAGCCCACTTTTGTCTGTATATAAGAATGTAAGAATCTAATGGAGTAAGAACATTCTTTTACTTAGCATATTTTAGAGGCTCAGAAAATTGAGGATATGAATAAGGCCAAATTTCAGAAATGTTAACATATAAGACTTAGAACTGAGGAAATGCCATCGTAAATTCTATTTACTGAGTCTCGGTCACTACAGTAGTTAAACTTGATATGATATTTCTTTAATTGCACAATAACCCTGCAAAATGGGTGTGTCCTTAGTTGCTTTCAAATGCAAATAAGAAAACCTAATCCAAAGTAGGCTAAACAAAAAGAATATCACATAAGAAGTTTAATATCATATAAAGAGAATTTAATATCACATAGAGATAGGGTGGCTCTCTAGGTTTGATCAACTCTAACTCAGTAATATCACTATTTCAATTTAGCTGATCTACCATTTTGTTAGCTTTCCCTTCGCGGTCACAGGATGACGATAACCATTCCACATGCCACTTCCTTGCTCAGCCATCTCCTGGGTGCTTAAAAAGGGAAACTGTGTGAATACTTCTCTTCCTATCTTCGAGGAGAGTCTTTTGCAGATCCCTCATTGACCCAATTCTCTTACACGTTTCTGCCTAAACCAACCACTGTCAGAGCAACCATGTTCTATCATGCACCAGTCATTACTCATGAACCAGGCAGGGTCTACCTGACACCTGAGCAAAATGGGGTTCTGCAACACTGAAGATAAGAAGAAATGGCAGTTAGCTAGACCACCAAAAACATCTGCCACCGTATGTATCCTGTATTCTCATGTTATTCTCAGCAACTCATCTGGCAAAAAATAAGATTAGAACCTAGGTGTGACTGTTTCCAAAGCCACGAATTTTCCATTAGATAATACCGCTTCTCAAAAATAATTAAAGCAGAATGTGTGATAGTAATAACAAAGGTAAGAAAATCTCTTACCTTTACTGATCTTCCCTAGAAAAGTGGCTGAGGAGGCTGGAAACCATGTTGTAATGTATATGCTACACCTGTGTCCGGGTCTTGGACTTTTAAATGTCATTCTCCAATTTCAGAAGCCAGGACTCCCTGGAAAAAAAAAATAGCTGATTCTTAGGCAGGAATGAAGAAAACACATGAGGAACCTGGAGCATCTAGTTCTGGAAAGTGAAGAAGCACTCAAACCCAAAAGATGGGGACTTGTCAGGGGCATGGAATCCAACCTGTGAGATATTTCAGTGGCCAAAGCTAGAACTATTTAAAGAACAGAATAAATAAAATAGTATTGACTTGTAACCCACAGAATAAAATAAATATATGAATCCAAACAGATATAAATGATTGAATAAATAGGAAGGGAAAAAAAAAGACAAATGCTTTTTACCAGAGAATTACCAATATGTGTAGATGGCCCCCATCTGAGAAGGAACTGACATGCAGATGGGAAAAGACAAACAAGACTGAGAAAACCCAAATCAAGGACACATTCCAATGAATTAACACATAAGTGAAAGGTGGGGACCTGAATGCAATAAATAGAGACAGTTATTTCAATTTGGAATGATGGTCAGGGAGGGGTGTGGGTCAGTAGATTACATGTTAGCGGAAATAAGAGAGGGATCTGCTTTAGAATAAGAAAGACCTAATTGTGCTTGGTTAGCCAGTGGGAAATGAAGATGAAAGGTCAGTGGAAGGACCAGTTTCATGATAAATGTGGTAGAGCAAGAGTTGAGAGCAAAGCACACAAATGCTGGTTAACCTTGGAAAGGAGCCAGGACACCTCTCCTTGGGGAAAGAGGGAAGGAGAAGCTGACTAAAGATACAGTGTCCATCAAATTAAATGTGGGACCATTGTGTAAAAGCAAGTGGGTACAGAAGTGTGGTCCAGGTGATCGGGTGGGGTTCTGAGGTTTGGAATGCTATGACAGGATACAATAAGAGCGAGACAAAGCCAAGGAGACTACATAATTTGTATTCTGGACACACTGTGGATGGACGGATGCTAACAGATGGTTGCCTGCACAATAAATATCAGCTTGTACTCTCCTGGGCAAACTGTAAACACCCTAGAAAGAGCCACCACCTTTATAGTTACTCTAATTCATGTGAGGATTCCTTTGGGTCACCACAGCCTTCTCTTAGCAGTGTTGCCCGGGACAGTATGAGAATAGTAGAGAGCCAGAAACTATGTGAGGCAAGAATGTCAAAGACTCAAGAAAATGAAGACTCCTGCCTATCATTCACATCTTTACAATTGCCGTCTGCTGGTCTGCATGATGGAAATGCTCTCCATCTGCCCCGTCCAAATGATAGCCATTAGCCTGTGTGGCTATTAAGCCACAGAACTGCAATTTTGAATAATTTCAGTTTAAATATAAATGGCCACATGCTGCTACCAGATTAGTGCTCATTTCGATGAAGCCAGGAGACAATGACGCCTGCAGGCAATTAACCCAGATTAAAAAGAAATGACAGCAAAATTCAGAAGCAGGATAGGAGTTTATGGGGCAGTTTGGAAAGAAACAACTGTATTTAGAATAGTACAATGCTGTGATGATGAAATCCAAATTGTAATATTACTTGCGAAGAATTAAAGAAAGGAGTTGGTGGAGTGTTGAAAAATGGAGAAGTCAACCCGGCCAGGGGTGTGTATGTGCCCTAGGGGGTCCTTGGGAGGCTCACCTCATCCTGAAGGGCTTGAGGAAAAGTAAGTGGATCCCAGAGAACATGAAAACCAGGGTGAGAAGAAAAGAAACAAGGTATGGCTAAAATTTCACAAGGCCGATTATTTTGTTTGTTTTTGAAGATTCCAGGCATTTTCTGGAATGGGCAGTGTGGCTCAAGGAGAAGGCAGATTCCTCCTTCTGGCCCTCGTCATTGAGGAAGGGCAAAGGGAAGATTCAATGTCATTTCATTTTGACTAAGGATGGCAATGGTGGTTAAACTTCTGTTTTCATGTCTATAATTTTATTTTACAGATCTGCTTTAACTTTGGAAATGGACTTCACTTTGAGGTAAGGAACCAAGGGGTTATTTCTATCTCTGGGACTCAGAGGCTTTACTTCATAGCGGACAGTTTGACTGTGTTGTACTAGATTAAAACCCATGTTGCCTTACACATGCCTGTTCTCAAACAAATAAGTGTCAATCAGTGCTGGGGAATATAGATCGTTTTATAGGGAAGGACCTTTATCCACGTGTGCATACATGCACAACTGTGTTCTCAGAAAAGATATACTTTATGCTGTTAACAATGGATATTCTGTGAAAAATGAGTGAAAAGATAGAAGGAAATTTGATATTTTTTGCATCATAAGTTTTTTTAAAAATTTTTATTTATTCTTATTAGTTATGTATGAGAGCAGAATGCATTTCAGTTCATATTACACAAATAGAGCACAATTTTTCATGTCTCTGGTTGAACACAAAGCAGAGTCACACCATTCGTGTCTTCATATATGTATTTAGGGTAATGATGTCCATCTCATTCCACCATCTTTCCTACCCCTGTGCCACCCTCCTTTCCCTTCCCTTCCCTTTGTCCTGTCTAAAGTTCCTCTATTCCTCCCATGCCCCCCCATCCCCATTATGAATCAGCATCCTATATCTGAGAAGACATTTAGCATTTGCTTTTTTGGGGATTAGCTAACTTCAATTAACATTGTGTTCTCCAGCTCCATCCATTTACCTGCAAATGCCATGATTTTAATCTCTTTTAATGCTGAGTAATATTTCATTGTGTATGTATACCACATTTTCTTCATCCATTCATCTACTGAAGGGTGTTTAGGTTGGATCCACAATTTAGCTATTGTGAATTGTGCTGCTATAAACATTGATGTGTCTGTGTCCCTGTGTCCCTGTTTTTAAGTCCTTTGGGTATAAACCAAGGAGTGGGATACCTGGGTCAAATGGTGGTTCTATTCCCAGTTTCCCAAGGAATCTCCATACTGCTTTCCATATTGGCTGCACCAATTTGCAGTCCCGTCAGCAATGTAAGAGTATGCACTTTTCCTCAATCCTCACCAATACTTATTGTTGTTTATATTCTGAATAGCTGCCATTCTGACTGGAGTGAGATGAGATCTTAGAGTAGTTTTGATTTATATTTCTCTAATTGCTAGAGATGTTGAGCATTTTTTCATATATTTGTTGACTGACTGTATATCATATTCTGAGAAGTGTCTGTTCCTTGGCCCATTTATTGATTGGATTATTTGTTTGTTTTTTTGGTGTTAAGATTTTTGAGTGCTTTGTATATCCTAGAGATTAGTGCTCTATCTGATGTGCGTGTGGTAAAAATTTGCTCCCATTCTGTAGGCTCTCTATTCACTTCACTGATTGTTTCTTTTGCTGAGAAGCTTTTGAGTTAGAATCCATCCCATTTCTTGATTCTTGTGCTATAGGAGTCTTATTAAGGAAGTCAGGGCTTCATCCGACATAATGGAGATTTGGGCCTACTTTATCTTCTGTTAGGTTCAGGGTGTCTGATTTAATTCCTATATCCTTGATCCACTTTGAGTTGAGTTTTGTGAAGGGTGTGAGATAGAGGTTTAATTTCATTTTGTTGCATATGGATTTCCAGTTTTCCCAGCACCATTTGTTGAAGAGGCTATCCTTTCTCCAAAGTATGTTTTAGGCACCTGTGTTTAATATAAGATAACTGTAATTATGTGGGGTTTGTCTCTGTGTCCTCTATTCTGTACCATTGGTCTACAAGTCTATTTTGGTGCCAATACCATGCTGATTTTTGTTACTATTGCTCTATAGTATAGTTTAAGGTCTGGTATAGTGATGCCACCTGCTTCACTCTTCTTGCTAAGGATTGCTTTAGCTATTCTGGGTCTCTTATTTTTCCAGATGAATTTCATAACTGCTTTTTCTATTTCTATGAGGAATGTCATTGGGATTTTGATTGGAATTGCATTAAATCTGTGTAATGCTTTTGGTAATATGGTCATTGCAACAATATTAACTCTGCCTATTCAACAGCAAGGTAGATATTTCCATCTTCTAAGGTCTTTTTAAATTTCTTTCTTTAGCGTTCTATAGTTTTCATTCTAGAGTCTTTCACTTCTTTCATTAAGTTGATTCCCCAATTTTTTTTTGAGGCTATTATAAATGGGGTAGTTTTCCTTGTTTCCCTTTCTGAGGTTTTATCACTGATATACAGAAATCCTTTTGATTTGTGGGTTTTGATTTTATATCCTGCTACCTTGCCAAATTCATTCACTAGTTCTAGAAGTTTTCTGTTGAAATATTTTGGGTCTTCTAGGTATAGAATCATATCGTTGGCAAATAGTGCTAATTTGAGTTCTTCTTTTCCTATCTGTATCCCTTTAATTTCTTTTTGTCTTTCTAATTCCTCTGGCTAGAGTTTCAAGAACTATGTTAAATAGAAATGGTGAAAGAGGACATCCCTGTCTTGTTCCAGTTTTTAGAGGGAATGCTTTCTGGTTTTCTCCATTTAGAATGATGCTGGCCTGGGGCTTAGCATAGATAGCATTTACAATGTTGAGATAAGTACCTATTATCCCTAGTTTTCTAGTGTTTTGGACATGAAGGGGTACTGTATTTTATTGAATGCTTTTTCTGCATCTATTGAGATGATCATATGATTCTTATCATTAAGTCTATTGATGTGATGAATTACATTTATTGATTTCCATATGTTGAACCAACCTTGCATCCCTGTCATGAACTTGATCATACTTGATTGTGGTGCACTATCTTTTTGATATGTTTTTGTATTCAACTTGCCAGAATTTTGTTGAGAATTTTTGACAGACCAATATCTCTAATGAACATAGATGCATCAAAAGTTTTAACATAATTTATAATTCTTTATATATAATTTATATTTGTTTAAATTAAGAAAAAGGTTTTCAAATGAAAGCAAATAAAAATCAATGATAACCAGTGTATTTTGAAACAAAAAAAAATACATGTTTAGGTACAGCAACAAACTTAGTAAATGGTAAAATAATCCTAGTGTAATAATCATTTCTGATCTTAAGATAGTAGGTCTTCTGTATTAAACTTTTCCTTCATAAAATACATACTTACCTATAAAACCCTAGTGAAAATTTATATAATAGTTTTCTACCTAAAGTTATAAAAACAAGAGACAGGAGATGTATTCCTTTACACATTCCTGATAACAAATTCATTAACTGGCAGTTGTACCAGTTTTGTTCACATATATATCAACAGTTTACAAACATTTTGTCTTAAAGCATGATAGTAATTTATTTTTAATTCATAAGCCATCAAGGAAAAGTGAAATTTCATTTTTAGCTAATAAGAAAAAACTTTTTGGACATGGTCTGTTATTCTCACTTGTCAATTTGTAAGGTGAGGCCATTAATTTATTCTTCAGGCCTTTTGAATTGGATACTCTGGGATATCTTCTTCCCTCCTCCTCCTCCTCCTCCTCCTCCTCCCCCCTCCTCCTCCTCCTCCCCTCCTCCTCCCCCCCCTCCTCCCCCCTCCTCCTCCTCCTCCTCCTCCTCCTCCTTCTCCTTCTCCTCCTCCTCCTCCTCCTCCTCCTCCTCCTCCTCCTCCTCACAACTCTCTGCTTTATAGGCTTGGAGATAATCTCTTGACCACCTATAGAGATTATTAGAATATGTACATTCCTCTTTAAAAAATGAAGCTTGGTAAGAAATGTAAAACATACCTTAAAATTTGCACTACTTTTAAGCTTTAGTAAAGTATAGAATTTCACACAAATGCTCGATGATATGTAATAATATTTTGACAATATTTTATTATTGTAGGCCTTAAACACCAGAAGCAAAAATCAGCTGCTTCCTAAACATACTCACCTAGTACGGCAAAAGCGGGCCTGGATCACCGCCCCTGTGGCTCTGAGGGAAGGAGAGGATCTGTCCAAAAAGAATCCAATTGCCAAGGTATCTTCTAAAGAGGAACATGAAACACACACCTATGAATAAAACTGTGGTGGAAGAGGATTTTTATGTCCGCTTTAAAATTTAAGGATGATTATGTAATTACTAAATTTCTTAATATTCAGAATGTATTTGAAAATTAGCAGAGCTTAAAAAAAGAGAGAAAATTAGCAGAGCTGACTTTTAGCAGCAAGTACCAACTTTGAGATCTTCTTTCTCTTTCTGAAAGATGCAACATCATTGGCAAAAAATATCTATCACTTTAAGTTTTGATTCAACTAGGAGTTGAGACATCTGGCAGTAATTTAATTGTAACTTAACACAGCGTTACAATCCTCCAAAGAGGGTATTATGGTAAAAAGTAGTTTATGATAGTTGTGGAAAGAACTGAGGTCTGAGAGGGAGGGTGACTGTACATCCTGATTCGTGCCTGTCGTCCTAGCTTAATAAGTAGTAGCTCCCTCTTTACTCTCAAATGGTCCAATTTTTAAAATCAATTATGTGATAATCCTCCTACAAATGTACCTCATAGTTAGCTGTACAAACTTAAACCCTTGTTGTTTTGCTCCCCTAAAGCTGCTCTCCTAAAGTTCTACCCATTTATGTAAAAGGCACCATAATTCCATGCAGTTTTTAAAGGCTGATATGTAGCAAGTATTATCACTTCTACCCAAAAAGTATATCCAAACTCTGCGCTCTTCTCTTCAACTCCATTCCCATAGTCTGAGGCTTTGTTATCTCCATCCCTCGTAACAAAAAGTGTTCCCATCTTGTCTTGCTGCTCTGACTCTTGCCAAGCCCTTCCACACAGCCCATGCTCCAGAATTTGGCCAGAGCAAACCTTTGAAAAGACAAAGCATGTTCACCTCCTTGATGAGACCTTTAAGTGATTTCCCAGGGCAATGGAAAAAATAACCCTCTTGCCCCCATATGATTGACTGCTTCGCCTAGGCCACCTCTCTGTCCCCAGTTCCAATCACTTCCCATTCCCTACTCTGCTACATCCTCTTAAAGTAACCACAAGCTCATTCCAGTCCCCGACTCTGCAAGGCTGTTCACTCTGCCTGGAATCTGATCCCCACAGATAATCTGCAAGATTAGCATATATCAGGCATTCTCTACACAGTGTCACCTCCTTCTGCCCTCACCCACTTTTTCTCTGTCCTCTTAACCTGTATCAGATTGGCTTATGGCATATTTCACTGCTGAATCAACATTGCTTGTTTCATCGTCTGTCTCCTTCAGTACAGTGTAAGCTCCACGAAGGCTTGGCTTAGTCCTTAGAGCGCCCAAGTCCTGCCTGTGCCCTGACCAACGCCTGTGTGCAGTAGGTGCTCAGTAAGCATTCATGTGAATGTATACGTTCAAATCCAGGTTTTACCTTCATCTTTCCAATCTCATAAAGATCATATGTGAAGAGCTTTTTCAAGAGAAACTATGACTATGAAATAGAAGATAAAGTTTCCTGTCTGCTAACAACATTTTTTTAAATATAAAAGCCCCCCGCCTTTATATATATATATATATATATATATATATATATATATATATATATAAATATACTGGGGATTGAACCCAGGGGCACTGTACCACTGAATTATTTCCCAGTCCTTTTAAAATTTTTTATTTTGAGATAGGATCTCACTAATTTACTAAGGCTGTCCTCAAACTTGCTATCCTCCTGCCCCTCAGCCTTCTTAGTCACTGGATTACAGGCATAACCCACCAAGCTTTGCTTAAAATCTGGAGAGTTTCAAGTATGGCTCAACATAACAGTACACATACAAGCAACTTAGTTTTTTGTTTTATTTTGGCTTGCTTTTTTTTCTCAGTAATTCATACAATCTTTCAGTAGATTTTCCTAAAATGAGGAAGAACATCATGGCAGAAGAGTGTGGTACAGGAAAGCAACTCAGAATATCATACCTGAAAGCAAAAGAGAGCCCCACTCAACAAGGACAAAATATATACCCCAAAGGCATGCCCCCAGTGACCTGCCTCCTCCGGCCACATTCTACCTGCCTATAGTTACCACCCAGTTAATATCTGTCAGGGAATTAATGCACTGATTTGGTTAAAAAGTTTCACAACCCAATCATTTCATCTCTAAATTTTCTTACATTGTCTCACATATGAGCTTTTGGGGAAAACCTCATACATAAACCATAACACGTACATATATATATATGCAATAAACTCTTAGTTGCATACATACATGTATACAAACCAACAGTTCTGTCCACACGATTTTTGTTTTATTTTTAACCCAGGTAGGATTATATAGTACATACAAGTAGTCTGCAAAGACATAGAATATCCTTATAAATACTATAATGTAAATTTAAATGCACATACATAAGTGTATCTGTATATTGTGTATGGGCATGCATTTGGCAAAAGGACAGGCAGAAGCTCAGTGAAAAATGATCATGTGACTGCTCTAGATTTACCATCGCACTCCAGGAGCTGAGCTGCTGTAGCAGGAGGTTGGAGGACCCATCCGCTATCTTTTGGTTTCTCACAGCTGAAACCCCAACAACCCCAGTGCATTGTTCGGAAGCCTAAGGGAAGAAAGACTAACTAATCCTGAAGTTTCATAATAGTGAACTGGCCAGGCAGGCAGATGGTGGTGATGACTTTAGTGGTATGTGAAGGGAGAAAATGAGGAACCATTAGGGGACCACAGAGAAGCATTTAAAGATACAAATGATATTGCCTTGTAGAGGATCTCAAGATGGTAACTACAGAATATCTAGCAGATTAGAAACATGATGTGCTGAGGCATTCTAAGTAGGGAAGCACTTGATGGTTTTCATCCCTCTTGGGAATGATTTCCAGATAATCAAATAGATTAATGAGGGTGATTTTGACTCTGCGATTTTTACCATATGTGCCAAATTTAAAATCTATCTCCTCCCCCTGCAAGATGCACACAGCTATGTCTTAATTTCACAATCACCCTAAAAAAGGAAACACTCAGATGTTTTCCAGTTAAAGGATAAGAAAACTGAGGCACAGGGAGGTTAAGTAGCTAACTCAGTGTCACATAACTCAGCTGCAGCCGAGATAGAATCAGAACCCAGGTTCCCTGATGCTAGTGCCATGTCCCTCCTTTCAGTGTCTTGACAACTTCAAACAGAAATTGTGCACTAATTTACAATGTAAACTACAAAGAATTTAACTTGAGACACTCATCTCTTATTTTCATGTTAGATCCATTCTGATATTGCAGAAGAAAGAGGACTAAAAATTACTTACAAATACACTGGAAAAGGGATCACAGAGCCACCATTTGGTATATTTGTCTTTAATCCAAGCACTGGAGAACTGAATGTTACTAGCATTCTTGATCGAGAAGAAACACCATATTTTCTGGTATGTAGAACAATTTTATTGGTAGTATTTTTGGGTTTTTTTTGGTAATACTTATGATTTAATTTTTGATGCTATAGCAACCCAATTACGTTAGTTAATTTTATTATTTATGTCATGATTTCAGCTAATGGGTTATGCTTTGGATGAAAAAGGAAACAATCTTGAGAAACCTTTAGAACTACGGATTAAGGTTCTTGATATCAATGACAATGAGCCAGTGTTCACACAGGAAGTCTTCCTGGGGTCCGTTGAAGAGTTGAGTGCAGCAAGTAAGAGTCTATTATTTTTCATGAGTGCCATTTAATTTCCATTGTGTAAATAAACACTAAATCCCATACTGTAACAGAAGTTGAGTGTTCTTACCCACAGGACAAATAAAAATGAACCTGTGGCTCTCAGTTCCGAAAGGCTTTTCTTATGATAAATTCAAAGGACTTTAAACTTATCTTTTTTACCCTGGGAAAAGATGGTAGACTGATGTGACAGGTGAGGTCTCCATAGCAACTACTCAAGTCTGCCCTTTGGAAGGAAAGCAGCCAGAGATACTATGTAAACAAATGGGGGTGGCTCTATTCCAGTGAAACTTTGCATATAAAAACAGGTGTCTGTCTGGCTTTGGGCCTCTGGATGGAGCTGCTGACTTCTGACATATTATTTTTACTGTAAATTTTCTTGACAACATTTTTCAATGAAGTACTCTATAGAAAACTCCAAGGAAAGATTTCTCTTTGATCAAAATAAAAAGAATAATTATACTTCTCCTGAGATGTTTGTATCCTGATAAACAACAGGATCAAGTGGCTGCTCATGCTTCTTTTTCTGTATTAGCTAATAAGCACATATGAGGCCCTCTAAGAGCATTGTGCAGGAAATTACCCAATCTTAGCCTTGCTCTCATCTTGTTTTCCTTCTCCTCTATTCTACTCATGCTTATTTCCTCATTCAAGTAAATTTTTGATTGTGGTAAACTGTGCTTTCTTTTTTTTTTTTTTTTTTTTTTTTGAGCAGGGATTGAACTCAAAGGCACTTAACCACTCAGCCACATCCATTTTTAGAGACAGAGATAGGCTCTCACTAAGTTGCTTAGTGCCTCGCTAAGTTGCTGAGATCCCTTTGAACTTGGGATTCTTATACCTCCACCTCCCAGTCACTGGGATTACAGGAATGCACCATCACACCTGGCTTAAACTGTGGTTTTGACAAATACCTGAAATCCTTTTAGAAACAAACTGAAATTAAAAATAATATAATGTCACACGTAAGTGGACTTACCCTGGTCATCTTGATTTCTAATGCTAGATACACTTGTGATGAAAATCACCGCAATAGATGCAGATGAGCCCAATACCATGAATTCTAAGGTTTCCTACAGAATCGTGTCTCAGGAGCCTGCATATCCTCCAGTGTTCTACCTAAATAAAGATACGGGAGAGATTTATACAACCAGTATTACATTGGACAGAGAGGTAAATTAAACTTTCATGTTGTTCATCTTTTAAACTCCTCATTATCCTTTCCAGTTGCTCCTCTCTGTGTTTCTTTGAATTTTCTTAGTTCGTTCAATATTCCTCAGTCATAGGATAACTAAGAATCATCCTTTTTTAGGGATACACTGCCCATTCTGGTAGACATTAGCTATATGAGTCTCTTGAGCATTTGAAATGTGACTAATCCAAATTGAGATGTGCTGTATGCCTATTGAGATATATTTTTTTAAAAGCACCAGATGTGGAGGACTTCACATTAAAATATATGTATATAAAATACCAGCTTAATTTTTTAATGTTTGAGTTTACGTTGAAATGATAATTTCATAAAGACAACACCATTCTAGTACCTCTCTAGTTAGAAATCCATTTCCTAGAGTCCTGACACAGCATTCCCAGTTGGCGGGTTCTCTAATGAACTGTAGGGATCAAGGTGGTGAGGGCAAGGGGCTGGAGACAGGATTCCTGGCTAGGGAATAAAAATCCTTATAAAGGAGAAAATTATTTTAAATCCCAAATTAAAGAGAAATTTGAGTAGTTTACCTAGACTGTCCTCAACAATTTTTCATTCTTTTAATTTCTAACTCAAAATTTTAAATTAAAGGGGAAAATAAAAGAATTTTCAGATGCTATGTGCACAAAGATCCTAATATATAAGAATAAAATGTTAGTGAATACTATTTTGTCTTCAAATATAAATCATCATCCAAGTGTATGGTATTGTACTTGGAAAATTAACTTTGCTCAGATGGGAAGGATTGTTGCCAACTTGCCATCCGGATCTTTGTAAAATTTAAGAATCTGATCACTCCTAACATTCTGCTCTACACCTGTTCTCATAAAACTAGAGAGGAAAAGTATTACTCTGAATTAGTGGTGTGATTTGTAATAAGCTACCGTTTCTGAGGTGTGGAAAGTTTAGCCAAGATTAAAAGCCATAATTTATTGGGTATTAACCATGGCCAGGTAATATCCTAAGCCCTTTATATGGATTAACTCATTTAATCCATATGGAAACCTCTGAGGCAGATCCAGTTATTATCCCCATAAGAAAACTGAGAATCATAGGGATTAAGTGTGTGTCCAGCACAGCTAGTAAATGACAAAGCCAGAATTAGAGGCCAGGTGGCTCGTCAAGAGCCCCAACTGTCCTTCATTCACTGAGTGGTTCTGCCCCACGTAGGACCTCTGTGTACTGGCAGCGGCTGCCAAATTTCTTAAATCCAGCCACACAGAATGTAGCTACAGTAAGGGGACCACACACGGAAGAGAAGGTTCCTTTTTGAATGACAGTCATTCTCTAGGACACAGTCTCTAAGAATCCTATTCCTGAGGAAGTCAGGATAAAGATCACCAAGTTTTGTCCTCACTGGTTAAGTTTTTCTTGGGACTAGGTTCTTCTGGGTTACCTTTTAGCTAAGAATGATGTATAGGGTAGGAAACAAAACATTTCATACAATCCCACCACGTCTTCCATTGCAGAATGAACTGTATTTTGAACAGCGCCCCTTTAGTATAGATGGGTTTAAGAACAGAGTCTTCTGAGAATACCACCAATGGCAATATTTAAGAATTTGACAATAACTCTGCTAGTCCTTTGGAAGACGTGGTGGGATTTCTGCCCTTTCTCAAAAGCTCTTGACTACAAATAAATAACATAGAAACAACAGATCATGAAACTTATTTATGAGTAAAGTATACTATGGTTCGTTTCCCAATGGTGATGTGAACTAAAACCAGAAGAGAAGATTGGGAACAATTCATTTTCACCCCAGTTGCATATCTTTTATTTCTCTGCAGGAACACAGCAGCTACTCTTTGACAGTAGAAGCAAGAGATGGCAATGGACAAATAACAGACAAACCAGTCAAACAAGCTCAAGTTCAGATTCGTATTTTGGATGTCAATGACAATATCCCTGTAACGGAAAATGAAATGGTAACTTATTTTTATAATAAATGTACCTATTTATTCATATTTTGGCCCTAACTAAAATATATATATCAACTTGTTTGTATTATATCAGAATAAAAATCACATGTTCTTATTTTGCAGTACGAAGGAACGATTGAAGAAAATCAAGTCAATGTAGAAGTCATGCGCATAAAAGTGACCGATGCAGATGAAATAGGTTCTGATAATTGGTTAGCAAATTTTACATTTGCATCAGGAAACGAAGGGGGTTATTTCCACATAGAAACTGATGCCCTGACCAATGAAGGCATTGTGACCCTTATTAAGGTAAGTCATGAGTGTTCAAAACTAGGGTGGAACAAGTTGCTGCAGGAGAGAATCTAGCATATTTTGAGCTCCAAGCACAAATACTTTACATGCACAGCCAGCACCACATTTGTTTAAGATAGTGGCCATACCTGCTTGCCCAAGTTGTGTGGTCAGCAAGTATTTGCACTACAGTTCAGATTCAGATCAGGGGACTCTGATCCTAGCCAGACAGCATGAGACCAGCGTCATCACTGCCTAGACCACTTCCTGTCATTCCCACACCATGACCTTGTGCCTCTGCTGAGTATCCCTTCACTTACCACCTCTCAGTCTATTTATCTAACAGTAGAGTCAACCCTCACTAATAAGATCCAAAAATAGAAGCTATGATAACTTGACACTTAAGTGTGACGAAGAAACACCTCGTAAAGCTACATGCCAACAGTGATGATTCCTGGGTGTCATTATCACAAAGCCTAACTGGGTGGGACTCAGCATCTTGCCTTTTAAACAAAAATCTACGTATATTCTAATATTAATACTTCGGGGGCTACATTTTGGAACAAATCTCTTGTGCATTGAATCAATGAAGAAAAATTGAATCCAATCATTAAGCGTATGTAGGGTCTTACACATTTAGTTCTTATAGATCCCACTTTTTAAACAAAAATTATAAGACGGATGAAACAAAATAAGCAAGGAACGATAATAATGTACTTGCAAGTGGTTTATGATAGAATTGCCTTGCCAGATTTTTAAAATGAAATGCAAAACTGCAGCTTTAAAAATATTATTTCATTAAGTTATATGCAGACAAAAATTGATTCCAGAAGTTTCTAAATTTTTATAAAAATCAATATATGACAATCTAGGTAAAATCTAACAGTGGGACAATCAATATCAGAGTAGAAAATAATTGAGGTTTCATAGTAATAATTATGAGCCTCACTAATCAGTAGACTAATGTATGCATTTAAACTAGCTCTTTAAAAGCAGAAGACAATTGACTACATTTCCTCGTTTTTAAAAGGAAGACACATTTTATGATTATGGAAGAAATAATCATCAGAGATAAAAATTCACCTGCTTATGTGAAAATAGCATAATTTTTAGTTATCAATTATAGGTTCAACTATGCCTGATGTTCGAGATAAAGTCAACAACATACACAGAAGCAATCATATACTGGTGAATGATGGGGGTGCTGGAAATATTCTCAACCCACTCTTCCAAGGGGAGTGTGGATGAAAAGTAGTAAAATCAGCATTACAATGAAAGCAACAGTTGGAGAGAATTACAAATTTGTTATCTCAGCTATATGAAGTAGTTGCTTCCAGGGGCTGGGGTTATGGCTCGGTGGTAGAGTACTTGCCTCACAAATGTGAGGCACTGGGTTTGATCCTCAGCACTACATAAAAATAAATAAAGATTTTTTTTTTAAATAGTTGCTTACAAAGTATAAAGGCAGTAATCAGATTCCATCAAAAAGAAATGAGATTAAGAAGATACACAGAGGACTGGGATTGTGGCTCAGGGGTAGAGTGCTTGCCTAGCATGTGTGAGGCACTGGGTTTGATTCTCAGCACTGCATCTAAATAAAAGAATAAAATAAAGATCCATTAACAACTAAAAAGAAAAGTTAAAAAAAGAAGATGCACAGAAATACGCATTTGAAAAGGTACCCAATATCATTAACCATTATGAAAAATGTGAGTTAAAACTATAAGAGATAGGGCTGGGGTTGTGGCTTAGTGGTAGAGTGTTCACCTAACACGTGCGAGGCGCTGGGTTCAATCCTCAGCACCACATAAAAATAAATTAAAAAATAAAGGTATTTAAAAAATAAATAAATAAATAAAGGTATTGTGTCCAACTACAACTAAAACGAAAAAATATTTTTAAAAAAATCTATAAGAGATAGTCATCATACACTTACTAAAATGGCTAAAATCAACTGTCTTTGGATGGCTATAACAAAGTATCATCAACTTCGTAGCCTATAAACAGTGCCCAGCAAAGGCCCTATTTCTAGCTTATAATGGCACCTTTCTGCTGTATCCTCATGTGGCAGAAGAGGCCTGCAAGATCCCAGAGGCCTCTTTTATAAGGGAGTTAATCTCATTCACAAGGGTTTCTAAGACCTCACAAAATCCCCATCTCTCAATATCATCACTTTGGGGGATAGGATTTCAGTGTATAAATTCTATGGGTATGCATATATTCAGACCACAGCAATCAAAAAGTCTGACAACACCAAGTATTGGAAGAATATAGAGAAAGTAGAACCTTTATATATTGCTGGTGGAAATATAAAATGACAGTTTGGTAAGTCTTTTTTTTTTTTTTTAAGTTAAACATACAGTAGTTACCCTATGACCCAGCAATCTTATTCCTAGGTATTAATTCACCCTAGATAAATAAAAACATGTCTATACAAAGGCTTTTGTGCAAAATGTTCCTAACCACAAAATAATCTGGGAGCAGTCCAAATAGCCATCAACTGATGAGCAGATAAATAAAATGTGGTATATCCATATAATGGAATACTATTGAATAAAAGGACTGAAGTACTGATACATGCTACAACATGGATGAATCTCAAAAACATTATATTATTCAGAAACCAGGTACAAAATACTATTCTATGATGACATCATATCCTGTGATGTCATTTATGAGAGATTTCTAGAAAAGGCAAAACGAGATAAAGCAGATCAGGGATTGCATAGGGCCGGGGATATAAGGGAGGCATAAAGGAACTTTTTGTAATGATGGAAATGTTTAAAATTGGATCATAATGATGATAACAAATACTAAAAAACTAAGTTGTAAACTTAGGGTGAGTTTTATTATCTGTAAACTATACCCGAATAAAACTGAAAAAAAAGGTAGAGGAGATGAACAATATAAGAGAGATAATAAATCATTACATGAGAAAATGTGCACAGCTTTACCAACAAATTAAAATCCATAATGTTATTGGAAAATAGCAAAAAATGGAAATGACAAAATATGTTGATAGAGTTGTAAAAAATAGAGGCATTTGGCCTCATACATTGCTCATGATGTTGAAAATTTCTTTCATTCTCTTTGGAGCATTACAGCTATTTATGATAAATACTATGTAACAGTGTCCTAGTGTTTTTATGTCCCCAGTGCCTAGCTCACTTTTTTACACTGTCTTGGCTCTTGAATACTAATAATAACCAGCTAGAAGATTCTATGTCTCATCTAGCATATATTGTGCCATCAAATCCAGCATATCAGGTGCAAGAGCACCATAAAAGAACTCTCAAAAAGATCTGAAAGTCACAAAGAATGTTTTGTCTCTAGTCATTTGTTGTTGTGTCCTTGTCCCTACCATAGTGATCCATATTTTAAAGGGGGCAAAATAAATTGTCCGTACAAAACCCTACATAGAATAAAGCAAAATTCATAATAAATCACCCAAAAAAGAAGTGAACAGCTTTTCTAGAATCCTGTAAACATATGTATTTGAAGAAACAAGCAATGGTACATGCATCTAAATTATCTGGGAACACTAGAAATTAAAAGCAATGAAAGAATAGGGCCTAAATAAACTTTGACTAGGTAATTCTTTCGGTGATTTTTATATAGGTCACTCAGAAAAATAAGTTGTATAAGAATGTTCAAGAAAGTATTAACTATATTCGAAAATTGCAGATGGTCAAAATGTCTAGTAATAGAATGGTAAATAAGTATATCTAAATAATAATATACTATAGAAATGTTTGTAAAATGAAAATGGGAAAATTGGACCATAAAATATATAGATAGAGTGTGATACAGAGATTATATCAAATGGACATTATAAATGCCATAATTCACAAAGAACTATCTGAAAGAAGGCTAATCTTTTATAGAATTAACAGCAAAGCAGATATTAATAGATACTGTGCACAAAGGAAGGGAGTGGGTTCTTTGTTTAAACAAATTTGAAAAGCCTTGTTTTTTTTTCTTCACTTCAGGACTTCTGGGGTTTTTAGGATATTGGTGTGTGTGTCAGTCTACCTGGGGGACAGAACTAGTAATACTACCATATAATGCATAGTCCTTGGACTAAAATGGAGCACCTCTTAGGCAATATTAATTTTTACTGAATGTCCATTAATGTTTCCATTTCAGAAAAAAATCACTTTAGATTGTTAAAAATAAAAATGTATACTTTTAAAAATAAACTTGACCTTTAATAAAATGAACTGGGAATGCTTCTTAAACTTATATTTAACAATTATGAATATCCAGATTGACAGGGAATTTGTAATTACTTGGTATGGATGTGAGTTGGAATACTCAATGCAATAGTACTTGCTGTATGTCAAATGATCATATCTAACATTTAAAATGTGTGTACGCACACTCACCCTGTATGTTCTGGTTGTTTTCTCTGTTAAAAGAAACTTTGGTCTTGCCTTTCTAGGAAGTTGATTATGAACAAATGAAGACTCTTGACTTCAGTATCATTGTCACCAATAAAGCAGCTTTTCACAAGTCCATTAGGAATAAATATAAGCCCACATCCATCCCCATCAAAGTAAAGGTGAAAAACGTGAAAGAAGGCATTCATTTTAGAAGCAGCACAATTTCTTTCCGTGCTAGTGAAGGAATGGATAAGTCAAGCGAAGGCTTATCGATTGGAAAATTTCAAGTTTTTGATGAAGACACTGGACAACCAGCTCAAGTAAAGTAAGATATAGTTGTGAGCTTAAATCCAAATTTTAAGTTACTTTAAGTGCCTATTTTCAAATATCTTAATGAAATCTGAGTACTTCATTCCTTTACACCCCAGAGTTGTAACTCTCCAAAGGGCTATAGATTAAATTTCCCAAAGTTGATATGAGGAGGAATTTTCACCAGAATCCCCTTCCTTTGCCCACCTGTGTGTGAGGATGAGGCTAGAATGCTCACCACAGAAGAAGCTCTGGCTATAGATGCCTAAAAAGCAATAAAGGAAAAACTCAGAAAAAAAAAATGCGTTCTAAACTCTCTCTTATTTCTGAAGAGTCTTGAGAGGTGAGAAAGTAGCAGATAAAATTTACCACAAAATTTATTCTACACAAATTTAGTTCAAAAAATTTTCCTTCTTATGTTTTAACGAGGAAAATCGAGTTTTATTTATACATAAATCTTAATAATTAATCTTGCCCTGAATTATGCTGTTTTGCTTCAGAGATTGGCAGACTTTTTGTGTTTGTCTTGATGATGATGACGTTTGCTCAGAATACATTTACTGAGCCATAGTGCCATGCCTGTACTAAAAGGGACCTGGCTGTGTCTACTCTATAGTGACATCTGGGATTTGCATACTTTAAATTTTTCAAAGTAAATTTACTTCTTAGCTCTGAGAGCCATGCCATAGAAAAGAAAACTCTCTATGGGGCTATTATTTATAAAATTACAGGGATTCATGTTGGATTTAAAGAATTCCCACCTGCTGCCTAGGACACACAGCTTTTGCAACTTCCTAAGTGCCAGAGCTGCTTGGTAGCTTGTCTGCTTCTGCCTATGACCCTGTGTGCTAGTGCTTCATACAACGTTGTATTTAGTAGCATGGCCAACTGTAGCCAAACTGGAAATAATGGAGAAAGTTCTTCAATGATCTCTTTCCTTTGAACACATCTCCTATGGAATTCAGCCAAGTGATTATTTTTTTAAATAATGTTAAGAAATAGCATCCACTGTTTTTTACATACAGGGTCTTGGTGACCATCTTTGCCTACCCTCCCCACAGGAGCCAGTCTGCCTCTGCTGACTTGGGTGGTCTAGTTTTAATTTCCCCTGCTCTGCATTGAACAAGGCAGTCCCTAACTGAATCTACAGAAATGAGGATTCTCTGTGACATTCTTTGTGAAAATTCTCACTGCCATCTACTGAGAATTGTATTGTTCTAACTCTCTGCCAATAGTTTGTGGCTGTCTATTGAAAATTGTTTCCCACCAATCTTTTTTAAATTTGGGCTGCTATTTTTAATAAAGGCTATAAATATATCAAAAAAACTATTGCTCTCCCTGGAAGAATGATGAGCCGTGCTTCTTTAACCTGCAATTACAGAACTTTAGAATGAGAAAAAATCTTAAAAGTTCAGTTCAAACCTGTTATTTTACAGGAGGAATGGGAGGCACAGCTAAGTTAAATTATCTTCCAGTGTTCACCTAAATAATTAGTAATTGCTATTTTGAGATCTTTTTGCTTCTTCTTTTTTGCACTACTGAGGGTTGAACCTAGAGCCTGGTGCATGCTGGGCGAGCACTTCACCACTGAGCTGCATCCTCATCCCCAGCCCTTATTTTGAAATCCTAATGAGGACAGCAAAAGAATCATTAACTTTATCATACTATTCTGATAATTATTCATCTGTAGCAGTTGTTTATGGATATTTGATACAGCATGTGAGCTGCCTTCCTACCTGAATGGCATCTCATTTTCACAACAGAGAGCAATAAGGACATTTCCAAAGTTAGATCACAGAAGGCATTTCAGCGTGAAGTGTGATACTTATTACTAAGAGTCTGCTTTTAAGTATGAATGAGGGAAACTGTGGATGGCACGTAGACCCCAGTTTTAAAGTTTCTCACAGGAAATTCAGAGGTACTTGTGAAAATCCAAATGAACTATCATCTACTAATAGAAATACTAAGAGGCATAAAAGCATAGTTCAAATGTATGATTGGATTTTTTTAAATATAATACATAAAAATTTTTAAACACAGTACATAAATATTGCCATAAATTAACCACCCATTCTTGTGTGCCTAAACAACCACTTAATAGAAAACAAATCATCAATTTGATTGGTTGAGCCAAGATACTCATGTTTAGTTTATATTTGTATTTTTATATGTTAAACTAAGTGGTATTCATTATGCACATTTCTGAAAATATAGTAGGAACATTTTCCCTGCCTCCCCATAGCTGGCTCTTTTCACAGTTATTCTCTTTGCTTTGAACAAGGAAACCCAGAAATCATTTTGTCAGCATTGTTTCCACTTTTAACCATTCCTACCTGAAAATTATTAACAACGTCCCAATGAACAGTGTAATGTAAGTCTACTTTTGTCCATCTGTCTTTTTCTGTTACTAAGTTATTCCCCAAAGGCTTAACCCAAATTTAGGAGAGATTAGATCAACAGCTACAGGACAGGCTACAGAGTAACTGACAACCTCATGGATTAGTAGATGTTTAAGCAGGTTTCAAGAAATTAAAGACATCCAAACAAATTTCTGTAACAAGAACATATGTGAGATGAAAATTAATTTTTAAAGAGTTGTAGAGATTCCCAATTTGTCCAGAATTTTAAAAATAATTTGGTGTTTGTTTTATAACAGATATGCCAAATTGGAAGATAAAGACAACTGGGTTTCTGTGGATCCTGTCACATCAGAAATTAAACTTGTAAAAATTCCTGATTTTGAATCTAGATATGTCCAAAATGGTACATACACTGTAAAGATTATGGCTATATCAGACGGTAAGTTATTAAATAGACATTTTTCTTGATTATGTGAATTTAGATTTTATCTTCCAGCATCAGAAACTTTTATTTTGAATATATGTAAAAATCTAATCTCTCTAAAGGATGAAGATTCATATTCTTACTTATTCAGTGACTAAAGATAGTACTTGGCCTTGAATATGAGACATACCTGGGATAGGAAGTGTCATAAGTGGTTGGTACACTCTTTATACCAAGGTGGCAAGAGAATTCAAACTGTGGTCAACAATATGATCAGAATAGAAATAATTTTTCCTTCTCTTATTGTTCAGATTATCCTAGAAAAACCATCACTGGCACCGTCCTTATCACAGTTGAAGACATCAATGACAACTGCCCCACATTGGTGGACCCAGTGCAAAACATCTGTGAGAATGTGCCGTACGTGAACGTTACTGCAGAGGACCTTGATGGATACCTGAACAGTGAGCCATTCAGCTTCTCTATCATTGATGAACCACCTGGAATGGCAGAAAAATGGAAAATAATACGACAAGAAAGTAAGCAGAATTGTTGGACTATCTTAAAATCAAAATATTAAGCATGGTAGATATTTAAAATCCTTATAGGTTGTATTTATTCTCACAATATATATCTCCAATAAAAATTTTTAAGGGCATTTGTAAAATGGGGTTCTGAACCTACAGACATAGTATCTTTTATATGCCTATGGAAAGATGAAAATTTATATAAAATGGCTAGAGTTAGTGGGGTGTTCTCTGAATAGCTCTTGAAGTCTCAAAAGCTCTTCTCTGATAAGCTTTTCTAGACACAACAATCATAGTAAGTGCCTTCTATAACTCTTGAAGTATGCTAATGATAATTCCATCTAAAATAACATATATTGAAGTGGGGAATTACATTTTTTGAGCACTTACTCTGTGCCAGGTACATTACCATATTTAACCCTTAATCCATAACATTATTCCCTGATTAGAGGTGAGAAAACCTTAGCTTAACTAGAGTTCAGTAACTTATTCATAGTTAAAATGCTAGTGTGTGGTGGAGATCACATGACAAAGAGTCTGTCTTATGTGCCTCTGCCCCACACCAATGGACACACCCATGGGTCCACATCTTGGACACAGCCCTCGAGTTCATGTGAGCTTTGAAATTCTTTAGGGTGGTCTTACATGCCAAAAACTCTATCCAGAAAACTATTTTGTTTTAAACAATCAGTGTTCATTTCAGAAAAGTTTCAAATACAATCTGCAAGTTTTTCTTAATCTGTAGGTTTGTTATGGTATTTTAAGTCTAGCAAGTGTTTATAATCATTTTGAGAGGTTTTGATTAATTTTTTGACCAGTTTACAAGTCAACATTTCAAACTTTTTATATAAACTAAGTATATTTGATTTCCTTTTTTATACATTTCAGTGATCCAAATTAACAAGTAAATCCTCCCTGTGATTTTGTACCCTAAGTTCCAGTAAATTGAATTTACAAATATATTGCACCTAGAATTCTCTTCAGTAATTTCATAGCAAACGAGTGACATTTCAGCCTAAAACCACAAGTCTAAGTCAGTAATGCCAATTACACATTCTAGAGTTATAATCTGTCATCCTAATAGGGTTAATTTTTTATAACATAAATACATAAGACAATATAAATAAATTCCTGACAATACAAAAATATTAAAACAGTGTCCTTAACTTGCTTCAACTTTCCTCTGTTTAATTCCAAAAGTTCTATCGATGAGCTCACCTGAAGCAGCCATGCCCTTGGTTAGCTCAGGTTGCCTTTCCACTGAGGATGAGTCACCTTTGTGGCTAGTTGAGGTTCTCTGTGACAACTTCCCAGCCAGTGAGGGCCTTGCATTGGCAGGCGTCCGGGGGCTTCTTCTGGTAGTTTCATCACAGACATCAAAACTTGAATTAAGTAACCAGTTCTGTACCCTAAGAGGCCTGCGACACCCCTACACTGAATGCCTGACTGCAGCTTGTCTTTCCTTGACCAAGATATGTAAATGAGTTTTCCATTGAACTTGGAATCCCAAGACTCCTTTATTTTATCTGAGAACCACATGGACTTTAGTATATGCTGGGCAAAGTCTTCAGCACGTTCTGCTGTTAACAACCTTAGAAATTTGGTTTTACAATTGTCAGCATATTACAGGTGGGGAAACAAAGGCACAGTGAGTTTTCCTGACTTTCTTGAGGCCACAGCTAGGTTAAGACTTGGAGCTCGGATTCAACCCAGGCAGTCTGGCTCTGCCTGGGTGCTGTGCTGCCTCTCCAAATCTCTAAGTGGCTTTTCTGTCTAAAAATAAACATATTTAAGCTTGATGAGTCCTTGAATGTTTTTTTTTTTTTAAATAGTCATAGGAACCTAAGACTCTCAAGGAAGTGTGTTAACAGTGTTGTAACAGGAAGTCACTGAGATTATTCATTATATAATGATGCAGTTTAGAGAGAGACTTCTTTAACTCAGGCTTTCTTCTCCCTGATCAAATAATAAGGTGATCGACCAGTTAGCATGATACATAGCTTCTTTCTATTTTTATTTTTTATTTATCTGGGAAAATTTTTAAATATGGAAAATTCTAGAGAATTTTAAATGATATAGTCTTATACTTACTACTTAGAATTAAAAGAAATTAATGATTGATTCAGCCGTGGAGAATAATGAAATCACGTCATTTGCAGAAAAATGCATCTCAAAATAAGCCATGCTCAGAAGGGGTCAAGGGTCTCATATGTGGAAGCTAGAAAGGAAAGGGGAATAGAAAAGTGGAGGAGCAGGATCTCATGAATATCAAAGGGAGATCCATAGAGGAAAGGGACCAGGGAGTCAGGGGTAGGGTGCTGGGATATGAATTGGCCAAATCCCAATTACATTGTTATATTGTGTACAAGTGCAAATATGTAACAACAATTCCCATTGGTATGTACAACTATAATGCACCAATAAAAAATGTGAAAAAAAGAAAATAAATAAGTAGAAAGAAAAATATATTAATGAGCCAGATAAAGTGGTATATCCTATAATCCCTGCTAATTGGGAGACTGAGGTAGGAGGATAGTGAGTTTGAGGCCAGCCTCAGCAACATAGCAAGACACCACCCCAAAGAAACTATCAACACTTTTTTGTATTTGTGTCACAACTTTCATTTGTCAATGATAACTAATAGAGTGGAAATCCCATCCTCCCCTCCCACACAGCCCATCAGAGCCCATCATGAATTTAGTTGTATTTTTCCAGGCCCTGTTTCCCTGAGCCCATATTTCTTAAACCAATGACTACATCCGTTCCTCATTTCCCCAGAGTTTTTGTGATGATTTTAAAAGTATATTTCTAACCATACAGATCAAATTCCATAAAACTTGGAGCTTAAAATATTTCTTACTTCAAAAACAAAGATAAAACCAAAACACTTGATTTGTATCTTTGTGTTCTCTATCATACCTTATAAGTAAATTATTCTAGTAAACATTTACATATGTCAGAAAAGTTTTATGCTATTGTAATTAATCATGGCTTTAATTCGTGTGAAAACTGGTCATTATTTTTATTTGTGTGAAAAAAAAAAATTTTAAATCATCACCAAGGCATATACTTAAAAAATAAGAGGTATTCCACAACACTTCCAGTGTCTTCTAAAATCACAAACTGAATCCAGTCGTGAGGAAACAACCAGACAAATTCAAACTGGAACATTCTCTGAAATAAGTGGCCTATTAAATATTTCAAGGTCTTGAAAAGCCAAAGAGAGAGTGGGAAAATTCCAAATAAGCAGGGACTACAGTAATAACTAAATTCAATGTGTTAGCCTTGATTGGACCCAGGATCAAAAGAGAGAGAAAAATGGACAGAGATCTGTAGGATATTATAAAAGGATATTTTTATAACAACTGAAAAGTTTGCAAATGAGTTATATATATTACTTAGTATTATTGTATCAGTAATAATTTTTTAAGAGCACTAATATTCCTTGGCCTTAAAAAGTTTGTGCTGAAGAATGTCATGCTATATATAACTTACCTTGAAATAGTTCTGATAGAATTTTTTGCAAAAAGTATGGATGTATATATAGAGAGAAAGTATTGATGCAAAATGTAAACAGTTAGTGAAGGGTATATGTATTGGTCAGCTTTTCGTCACTGTAACCAAAATATCTGATGAGAACAACTTAGAGGAGAAAGGTTTATTTTGGCTCACAGTTTTAGAGGTCTCCAACTCCGATGCTCTGGGCCTGAGATGAGGGAGAACATCATGGCAGAAGGGTATAGTGAAGGGAAGTGCTCAGCTCATGGTAGCTGGAAAGCAGAGAAAAAGATTGAGGACCCTAGGACAAAATAAAATCCCCAAGAACCTGTCCCCAATGACCTACTTCCTCCAGCCACACCCTACCTGCCTGTAGTTACTACCCAGTTAGTCCTTTTGGATTATTAATCCATCAAATGGATTAATCAACTGATTAGGTTTCAGCTCTCATAATCTTATCATTTTTGCTTCTGACCATCCCTTCTTTGTCTCATGCACGAACTTTCAGAGAATACTTCATATTCAAGCCATAACAGTATTATCAATATTGATCGGAATATTCTTGCAATTTTTCTGAAGGTTTAAAATGTTCAAAATTTCAAATACACAGTATTTAGAGCAAAAAGGAAGGAATCATAAAACATTGTTGAAAATCGTTAAAGTTGGGAATGGGTACCATGAGAGTTACGCTTTTCTATTATTGTCTATATTTGGAAAATTGCCATTCAGTTTTTTTCCTAAGAAATAGTAAAATAAAGTCAGTCAGTGAAAATGTTGAACTCCTCCCTTGTTCATCACTGTGTTCCTCATATTTGATACACCACATACATTTATTAAAATTAATCATCACAAAAATAAAGTGTCCAAATCTTTGCTATTAAACTGTTTTGGAGGTCTGTAAACAGATTTTAAGGAGCTCACAGAATGAATTCCATGAGAAGTTAAGGAAAAATAAGGTTTCTAAGTGGAGCTAAATAAAGAACATTCTTTCGGTGATTTAATTTCTCCCTTTCCTTGGTAATCACCTGCTTCTATTTCTCCCTATTCTTACCCTTGAAGGTACCAGTGTGCTGCTGCAACAAAGCGAACAGAAGCTGGGGAGGAGTGAGATTCAGTTCCTGATTTCAGACAGTCAAGGCTTGAGTTGTCCTGAGAAGCAGATCCTTAAGCTCACCGTTTGTGAATGTCTGCATGGCAGCGGCTGCGTGGAAGCCCAGCATGACTCCTATGTGGGCCTGGGACCCGCAGCAGTGGCTCTCATGATTTTGGCCCTTCTACTCTTGCTACGTAAGCCTTAAAAGCCATTCCCTAGCTCTGTTAGTAATTTGAGTGCCCACTAGTGGTTTGTTACTGAAGTAGTCATTGATGTCTCTACAGGTGTTCTTCAACCACCCTAGAACACTTCTCAGGGTAAATAGGGAAATGACCCACTGGTGATTGATAAATTCACCAAAACTTATTGCAGGACTCTCTTCAGACTTAACTTGCCAGAGCTCTGCCTCCCGTGATCCCCTCTGCTTAGCTTGCTTCTTCACCAGTACCAATGGTAGCCAGACCTGCAAGCACTTAATTACATCCCAACAATGACAGGCTGTTCTCAACCACGCCTGCCCGCTCTGTCTACCCTCCAAAGCCCTTGAGTTTCCTTTCATGAAAGAATAAAGGACTGCCAACTAAGGTCATGGAGTCCCACTCCATTTGACCTCTGAACTCAGGCAGACCACCAGTTCCAAGGCTATCTCAGAAGGAGAGGAGGAGCCTGAGAAAGCCATTAGTAGATGTCCAGTTGAATGCACAGCTCAACAGTTTACAGTGTACCTTTATTCCATTATCTCCATGTTGTGGGTAATTACAAACACAGACACATAAGGATAAGTGACTTGTCTCAGTTTACCAAGTGTGTGGGTAGGTCCTGGAGCTGGGACTGCATGCTGTATGTAGGGATTCCTTGCACTGCCTCTCATCTCAGATTCTCTGGAGCCTAATGTGGCACTTGACACATGACAGATACTCAATATTTATCGAATGTCCTAAAACTATTGAATCACTGCTGGTTGATTTTCATCTCTATATTAAACATAGTAGCTATAGTCTATAGTTACCATGCTGTCAGTTATTTTATATGAGAAGGAATCTAAGAAGTATTCAGTTCATCATACTGCCAAATGGGAATGACAGTAAAATCAAATGAAACCCATTGACCAATTAACCCACACTGCTTGCAGATGTGGTTAATTCTATACTGCATTGACCAGAGAGCCAGTCCCAGCTGGTCTTTGTTTCCTCACAGATGCAGAATAAAGCATAAGAGGACTGGGGATATAGCTCAGTTGGTAGAGTGCTTGCCTCACAAAGCCCTGAGTTCAATCCCTAGCACCACACCAAAAAAAAAAGTATCATATTGAATGCTAGATAAAATGTGTTTGTATACATATATATGCACATTTTAATGTAGAATCGTTTTAGAAAACAGTACTTAGGGTAATTTGGAGGTTAATTGAGACCTCAGACAATCATGTTTGTGTAAAAAAACTTTGTTAAGTATTATAGCAGTTTTAGTGTTTTAATATTTTTCTACTAAAATTTTTTCACTCCTAAGCTCTTTTTTAATACATACTATTTTGAACAGTAAATTTACTAAAAAAAAAAATTTGGACAATGGTTTAAATTTTTTTCATCTTTAAATTGGTTTTGCAACTTTGGGTACTGTCTCATCCAGTCTCAATATTTCCCCCAGTAACCACTGCAAGTCTCTTTGTAATGAACAGGCTTGGAGTATGTGACCCTCTCCTTCTGCCTCAACCGTTAATGTTACTTACCCAAAACAAGATTGGGGAGATTGAATCAGGGTGAAGGAAAGAAAAATAGGGCTATGAATAAGTGAAGACTAAACTTTTAGAAGTGAGACGCAAATTCCAAAATTGTACCATTTAAGCTTAGAAATCACATCTGCAATTTAAGATCTCTACTCTATTTTGCTTCTGCACAGTTGTGCCACTTCTGCTGCTGATGTGCCATTGTGGAGAGGGCGCCAAAGGCTTTACGCCCATACCTGGGACTATTGAGATGCTGCACCCTTGGAATAATGAAGGGGCGCCACCTGAAGACAAGGTCAGTTCATCAGATACTGATACTCCTTGTCATCTTTTCTGATTTTAAAGGGGCCTTGGGTGATGGGGAATGTTTCTAACATTTTTGGTCATGAGAGTAATGTGGTTGGGATGTTGTAAAATATATGTTTGGTGTTCATCCCCATTCCCTGGTTTACAACTCCTAAAAACCTTGGCATCTCCTAAGTGATAGCATCTAGACATATGGAAGCGGCAGTGAAGTCTGGGTCGTAGTGGGAACTGCCCTCAACCTGTGAAATCTGACACTATCTCCAGGTAGATTGTGTCAGAATTATATTGACTTAGAGGCCACCCAGCTGGTGCCTGCTGCAGGATTGATTGCTTGTTTGCTAGTAGGGAGAAATCTCCATATCTTTTGAGGTCACAGAAGTTTGTGTTGGCCATTGTGGTGAGAGAGTACAAGAGTGGTTTGGTTTTCACTAAAGATCTCACACACTTGGCTTTGTTAAACAAAGTGTTCAAAGGACAACATACTTGGGGTTGGTTGCCAGGGCAGAGTTGAGGTGGTTTTACTGCACTGTGATGTATCCTATGCTAATAATAATGTAGACCGTGCATCAGGCAGTGACCCAGAGAATGTAGAGCAGGGGTCCCAATATTAAATGGTTAGTCTTTCTCAACCAAGAACTGCTCTGCTTCCATCCCCCTCCATACAGCTGACACAGAGATAAACCTCCAACCCCTGTGACAGTTGTAAAATGCTGTGAAGTCCCCTTTCCTAATTATTTAGTAGCCATCTCTTTGATCTCTCTATTGCATCTTCACCCTGGGTCTCTATGCATCTGCCATGAGCTCCATTTCCAACAGGATATGATTCAGCAGCAATGTCAGTGTTTAGTGAATTCAAATAATGGTTCCTTAGACATATGTGTGGGCAGGTCAGGATTAACATGATAATCTCACAGCATGTAGCCCCAGGTGCCTTCTTTTTTGGAACTCATCCCTCCATGGATGAGTTCCATTCCCACACTTTCCTTATGTTCCAGACACTAGCTACTGTCCTCACATCCTAACTAGCATGTGGGAGAAGAGTGAAGAATCGCTCTGTAAGTGCTTTTCCCAGAAGTTGCCTACACCATTTCGGCTTGACTTACATCAACCAGATCTCAGGTGGCTATGCCTAGTAGCAGCAAGGCTTGGAAACAGTCTTTATCCATCCAACTAAAAATAAAATTAAGTGTTCTATAACTACAGCAGAAGTCATCAAACCCTAGAGGAAAATTGAAATGTCATCGGTGCCAGTCGATGAGTGAGATGAGACCATACAGGAAAGTTTGGGTTTTGTTCCTCCTTTGATTGTAATCACTTATGAAATATAAGAAGGTAGAATGGAGATATCTATAAGACTCAGATTTTAAAAAATAGAATAAAATGAGGATGATAATGCCTATCTCAAAAAAAAAAAAAAAAAAAAAAAAGACTCAAGTAGAAGTTATTTAGCCCAAAACATTTTTCCTGATTAGCTTCTGGGGAAATAGCTTATCCCTCCTTATGCCCACTTAGCTCAGATGCTTCTATCTACCATATGGACTCTCCATCCTTCTGACTCAGTCCTCAACGGTATTTGCTCACAGGTGGTGCCAACCCTGCTGGCAGTGGATCATGCGGAGAATCCAGCAGTAAGAAATGGAGTAGGAGGTACAATGGCCAAGGAAGCCACCATGAAAGGAAGTAGCTCTGCTTCCTTTACCAAAGCGCAGCATAATTTGTCGGCGATGGATGGAAGATGGGAAGAACATAGAAGCCTCCTTTCTAGTGGGGCAACCCAGATTATGGGGACAACAGGAGGTATGGTGGGTGGTGCTGAAACCATGAGGACCACAAGAGCTACAGGGGCTTCCGGAAACATGGCTGGAGCTCGAGCAGGTGCTGTGGCAGTGAATGAGGAGTTCTTAAGAAATTATTTCACTGAGGTAAGGATGGGTTTTTATGTATAGGAAAAAAATAATTAAGAAAGGAATATGGTTTTAAGGTACTCATTGCCATGAATCTAAGTGGGATTTGGGGGTTTTTCTGTTTGGTTGTTTTTAGGTCATGTTCATAGGCAATGAGAAAAGAGGAATGATACTCATTGAATTAGTCAGTATTAGCTCAACTATGCTGTGATAACAAATGACCCCACATCTTCTAAGTTCTCCCAAAGACTTTTTTCTCACTTATGTTCATATCTTGGCCAGTCAGCTCAGCTCTGCTCTGCTCCATGTTGGCTTCATTTCAATTTGCATGCAAAAATAGCAGATTGTATCTGAGAAGCCGCCATCGTTGTGACACAGGGAAAAGAGTAATAGCAGAAGCAGGTTATGACAACATAAAGCCTTCAGCTTTCTTTACACTTGCATTTCATTGGTCAGAGCAAATCACACAGTCATACCAAATGTTAGTGGGTCAGAAAGCACAACCCTAGGCCTGAATCCAGGAGGGAGGGCCAGAGAATACCTGACCTAAAAAACACAAGCTGTTAAGTCTGCTCAGATTTTACCTGCTGTACTGTTAGGAGAATTCATTAAAAAATGATGAGGAAAGTTATAGCAAAGATGATCAAATGCATTAAAGAAGCTCATGGGGCTGGAGATGTAGCTCAGTTGGTAGAGTACTTGCCTAGCATGTGCAAAGCCCTGGGTTCAATCCCCAGAACCACCAAAACCCAAAGAACAACATCCAGAGAAGCTCATGCCTAGAATTAGGAATTAGAAGATAAAAGTGTTTGAAACAAAGTGTATTTCAGAACATATTCTATTGCTAGAAACTATTGGAGATATTTATTCCATAATGGAAAATGGATCAGTTCATCTGGAGGCCTAATGCCTCTAAAATAGGTCAGTACCTAATAACAAAAATTTGAAATGCTGTGAAACCAAAACAGAAACACACAAGTCCATAATTATAGCTGTAGAGTTCAACTTAACCCATCAGTGATTGAAAGAACAAGTCCACAAAATCAGCAAGGAAGGGCTGAGGATGTAGCTTTGTGGTAAAGCATTGGCCTAGTATGCATGAGACCCTGGGATATAGAAAACCTAACAACATTATCAACTGGCTCCAGAAATAGCATGGTTTCTGGAGCAGGGGTCTCTGGCCCTCTGCCAAATTTTGGCTGGAGCTACTTGACATCAGTAGAACACTCAATGACACAAAAGTAGAATACACATCCCTTTTGACATAGATATAAAATAAAATTTTTTATATAAAATAAGTTCTGTTCTGTGATATAGAATAAGTTTTAATAGATTTAATAGAATTGCAATCAGGCAGAGTACTTTGGCACTCACAAACCAAAGATAATAACAAAGTAATGTATAAAATATACCCAAATACTTGTAAGTCACATATTTCCAAATAACCCATGGGTAAACAAAGGAAATTTTTTTTTAAAAAAGGAGCAGTTAGTATAAAGTTGAAACTGTGTACTCTGATGTTTGTGTTTGATATTTCCTTTATAATCAGACTTAAGATTTTGCATTTATGAGCAGAAATAATAGTCATCGCTGATGACTTGTCTCTATTATTATATCCATTTTAGAAAGTGGCTTCCTACACTGAGGAAGATGACGTTCACATGGCCAAGGACTGCCTTTTGGTTTATTCTCAGGAAGAAACGGAATCTCTACATGGCTCCGTCGGCTGCTGCAGTTTTATTGAAGGAGAGCTAGATGACCGCTTCTTAGATGACTTGGGACTTAAATTCAAGACACTCGCTGAAGTTTGCTTGGGTCAAAAGATAGATATGGATATGGAAATAGAGCAGAGGCAAAAACCTGTTAAAGACACAAGTATGAATACAGCTCCACGGTCACTCTATGACCAAACTGTGGTGAACTCAGAGACTTCCTACTCCTCTGGCAGCAGCTTCCAAGTTCCAAAATCTCTGCATGAAGCAAATGCAGAAAAAGTAACTCAGGAAATAGTCACCGAAAGATCTGTATCTTCCAGGCAGGGTCAAAAGGTAGCACCACCTCTTGCCGAGCCCTTGCCTTCTGGTAATATCATAATGACAGAAACGTCCTATGCCACGGGCTCCTCTATACCACCAAACACTGTGATCCTGGGTCCTAGACAGCCCCAGAATCTCATTGTGACCGAGAGGGTATATGCTCCAGCTTCCACCTTGGTGGATCAGCATTATGCTAATGAGGGTAATGTCATGGTAACTGAAAGAGTAATTCAGCCCAACGGAGGTGTCCCTAATCCTCTGGAGGGTTCCCAGCATCTGCAGGATGCACAGTATGTTATGGTGAGGGAGAGAGAGAGAGTCCTTGCCCCAAGCTCAGGGGTGCAATCCACTCTGGTTGTGCCCAATGTGGCAGTAGGACAGAACGTGACAGTGACTGAAAGAGTACTAACACCTGCTTCTACTCTGCAATCCAGTCACCAAATTCCCATTGAAACCTCTGTGAAGGCCAGAAATATGATGGTTTCTGGTGCAGGGGTCTCTGACCCTCTGTCGAATTTTGGTTTAGAGGAAACTGGTCATTCTAATTCTACCATCACCACATCTTCCACCAGGGTCACCAAGCATAGCACTGTGCAACATTCGTACTCTTAAGCTGCCACCAGCCACAGGCTGACCCAGAGCTTAGCCATCAGGAATTGGCTCTATGGTTTCCTTGTCCCTGGTCTTTTGTAAGCCTTTCAGACATGCAGAGACATGTATGCATTGAGCTTAAATTTTTTCTCTGCTTCCATGGGTTATATTTCAGAGTTGCCCTGTGATTTACTGAGGACATAGTGATGATGCTGTTTCTGAAGTGCCTTTTAGTGAGCTATACAAACAATATTTGTAAAACAAAACAGAGGAAATGTGGCTTCTGAGAATTTACCAAATTAATATGAAGTATCCAGTTCATCAGCCGTCCAGCAGAGCAACCCAAGAAACTGTCTGGGTCTCTGTCTACCATCATAACATGGAACTTTGCCCATTCTCTTGCCCATGACTGCACCTTACAGATTATTAGCAGCTCATTTTTCCAAAAATACATCAACAGTCTGGGCTACCAATTTTATTGTTGGTTTTCTTTAAGACTGGAACCCTTTAAATTGTGTAAAAATGTTGAAATTCTAGATTGCTGACATGGGAAGAACACACATTATAGTTTGTATACATGACACCCTGCACATGTGTATCATGGTCTTAAAAATGGCATCGTGTCTTCTTGTCTCTCAGCAGTCATGACATTTTTGAATGCTTCATATTCAGCTTAAAATCTAGGACAAAATTTATAAATATAAGATAATTTTACTTATTATAATAATTAAATGCTTTGAAAAAAAAAAAAAACTCAGGATATATTATCTTCTTACTAGTCACTTTATAGTGCAGCTAAACTCACCAGCTACTATGGTAGGAATAGTGCCTGGTTCATGACCTTATGTCCTCAGTGCCTAGCATGGATGTCAAATAAATATTTGTGGAATTAAATTGAATTTTACAAACCATTCTCTTTTATATTCAGTTGCCCAAGACATCAAAAGACCCTAGGATCCTATAATTATAATTTCAAATTATGATTCAATTCTGATGTCCCAAAGTTATTGACTGGTCATGACTTAGTACATGAGTAGTAAATATTACATTTGAAAATAATAATAATAACTGGCCTGATTTGGGTTGTTTGGCTCCTAAATTGTATTGTATTGCTCCTAGAAATGTTCAAAATACATTTATACATATACTGACATTTATATGTCAGTAATAATTTGTATATCTATTTCCAATAACAAAGTAATTTTCTTAACTTTTCTAGACTAATTTCTGGACATTTAAGATATTTTGCTAGGAAAATGAAACTTTCTTTTGGTAGTACTGGGGGTCAAATCGAAAGCTTCACATGTTAGGCAAACACTGTACTGTCAAGTTATGCCCCCAACCCCAGAATTGAAATGTTTTATAGACATTTTTTAAAATATTCTTTACTTGAATTGTATTATGAAAGGAATATACAATGTGTTCCACTAAATGTATATAGTGAGGGCATATATTTTAGAGATCATAAGCTGTGGCTAAGATGAAGTCCACTCTTCTTCCATGATCTAGAATTGTTTTCTCTCCAGTTGGTAATTTTTCTGTTTTGTTTTGTTTTTATTGTAGTCTTAGTTGTATTTTGCCAAATATGCAGGAGTATCCTTGCCGTGTGAAAATATAGATATGACCTATGTCCCTAAAACAAACAAAACTTGATCTTAGGCCTCCTGGGGCAGGCGTGGAAAACAAACCTGTCGTGTGTGTATATATAACATAATCACATGTTCTAAATGGTTTTCTTTGTTCCTAAAAAAGGTACTTTGCATTAGTTTTTGCATTTGTTCCTTGGTAGATTATATTTGTATGTGTATTATCATAAAATATTTAAATAAAAAGACTACTTTAAAGGGACTTTTCTCCACATCTTCTATATGCTTATAAAATAGGGGTTTTAGAGGAGAGCACACCCTAAAGACAGGTGTCTTAGTCATAATTATTTAATTAGATCCACTTGCAACTAGTGCAATAAGCCTCTTTAGAAGAGCATTATTTCTTTCTTTCTTCCTTCCTCTTTTTTTTTTTTTTTTTTGGTACCAGAGATTGAACTCAGGGGCACTCGACCACTGAGCCACATCCCTAGCCCTATTTTGTATTTTATTTAGAGTCAGAGTCTAGCTAAATTGCTTAGGGCCTCGATAATTTGCTGAGGCTGGCTTCAAACTCGTGATCCTTCTGCCTCAGCCTCCTCAGCCGCTGGGTGAAAGAGTAGAACACAAGAAGGCGCAATTTAGTTTTAATTTCAGATTCATAGTGAGTAATTTTTTGCTGTATGTTTGTCCAGTGGTTAAAAAAAAAAAAAAAAAAAAAGTTCAGATGCACCTGAACAGAGCAGGAGCTAGGATGGAAGAACCTAATGGTTTACTGGATGTGGTTTGTGAAGCGCCAGGCCTCCTACCCTAACGCGAGCAGTGTCCCAGCTGCGTCTCATACCAGCCCAAATGGAGTCAGCCTGACCCAGATCAGCCTCTACTTCTACATCCACAAACTCCTGGAGCATGAATGACAGTGCCAGTACCTGCTCTGGGCACAGACCAGAGGCAATGGGCAGCTTAAATGCCAGTCCTCAGGATTTCTTCCCAGAGGACAAACCCGGCTTCTCCAGTCAGGTCCAGGCCTGTGGGTACCCTCCATGCAGCACCCAGGAGGACGTCCCCAGAAGCCTTGTAATCGAAAGCTTGGTCCCTGTCCCCAATGCCAATTTAATAATGAGGACATGGTATTGAGAAAAAAAAGGGGGGGGGGGGGTTTATTGCTTTGCTAGCAAAGGAGAAACACAGGAGACTCCTGTCCCAAAGGCTGTGAACCCTTCAAGGGTTGTATTCCGGGTGTGCTCTGGTAGGGAGTCCTAGGGCGCCCTGAGGACTTGTTAGGATTCCCTTGTTAATCAAGGAGATATTCACTTCCCAGATCCTCAAGAGGCATCTCCTTCCTGTAGTGGGGAAGAAAAGGGCAATTAACTAGGGGAAGAAAAGATAACACTGTCTCCCAGATCTTGTTAGGGAGGGGGAGAGGGAGAAGAGAGAAATCCCTAAAGACCTAAAAAGAGCATGCTACAGGGACACTGCTACATCGATGTTCATAGCAGCACAGTTCACAATAGCAAGACTGTGGAACCAACCTAGATGCCCTTCAATAGACGAATGGATAAAAAAAAAATGTGGCATTTATACACAATGGAGTATTACTCTGCATTAAAAAATGACAAAATCATAGAATTTACAGGGAAATGGATGGCATTAGAGCAGATTATGCTAAGTGAAGCTAGCCAATCCCTAAAAAACAAATGCCAAATGTCTTCTTTGATATAAGGAAAGTAACTAAGAACAGAGTAGGGACGAAGAACAGGAGAAGAAGATTAACATTTAACAGGGATGAGAGGTGGGAGGGAAAGGGAGAGAGAAGGGAAATTGCACGGTAATGGAAGGAGACCCTCAGGGTTATACAGTGGAGGGGGTAGAGAGAGAGGAGGGGAGGGGAGGGGAGGGGAGAGGAGGGGAGGGGGGAGGGTGGATGATGGGAAAGGCAGCGGAGCACAACAGACACTAGTATGGCAATTTGTAAATCAATGGATGTGTAACTGATGTGAATCTGCAATCTGTGTATGGGGTGAAGGTGGGAGTTCATAACCCACTTGAATCAAAGTGTGGAATATGATATGTCAAGAAATTTGTAATGTTTTGAACAACCCACAATAAAAAATTTAAAAAAAAAAAATTAAAAAAAAAAAATGAACATTAGAGCACTGAGGGTTACATTCAGAAGGTGAAGGGACCACTGTAAACAGCCTCAACCCATCCTCAGGGCCCCAGTGCCTCCATCTCCCCACTGCCCTGCCCCCAGCCCTGGACATCTGCCTGCCGGAGGAAGGTGATTTTGAGGACAATGACAAATCAGGTCCAGGAGATCACTGAATATATGTGGATTCTGCGCCTGCCACATCCCACAAGTCCCATGGGTCCTCATCCTGACTACTTTCGCACCTAATTGTTGTCCCCACCTGTCATTTGAGGGAGTGTGGGAGCTATCTGGTTTCCCAGTCAAGGAGTGGAATGGGTGTTCCTGGGTGCGTTCCTTTCCATTGATGCTGCCCACAAGCTCTCTAAGGGGCTGTGTCCCATGTCCTCTCTGGATGGTGGCCTTGCGACATTCAGTATTGTGAAGCTGTAACATTACTCATCTACAGGTTTGTGTCCTACCTGTAGTTTTAATCTATTTCCCTGATGAATATTAAAACATTCTTGCATGTTAACTGATTTTTTTGGGCGGGGGGAGGATACTGGGGATTGAACCCAGGGGCACTCCTTTTTTTTTTTTTTTTTGAGACAGGATCCCTGCTAAATTGCTGAGACTGGCTTCAAACGGTCAATCCTCCTGCCTCAGCCTCCTGAGCCACTGGGATTACAGGCGTGGCCCTCATGTGCTCTCTTATCAATCTTCTTCACTCTTTTCAGTTTATCCTATATTCCTGGCAGTTAAATTGCCTCTGTTTTTTTCCCATTTGTATTTGTTTTCATTAGTAGTATTTGTTTTCTCATTGTCAATTTTAGTACTTTTCAAATTACTTATCAGGACCCTGTTTAGATTTTTCATTTCTATCAATGAAAGACTGCTATGTTGTAAGACAATAAATCATTACAAATTAAAAAGAAAAAGTACGGATGCTCCTTGACCTATGATACAGTTCTGTCCCATCATTACTTGAAAATATCATAAGTCAAAAATGCCTTTAATACCCCTAGCCCCATTGAACATCACAGTACAGTTTCTAACAAATGCATATAACTTTCAGACCACGATAAAGTGGAAACATCCTAAGTCGGGACCACATGTTGTTTACCGGAAACTCAAGTTTCACCAGGTACCACAATTGTATTTTTATTTGACCAAGTCTGGCAGCCTTGTTCCTAAAGAATTAAAGGTCACTCTGCCCAGAAAGTAACTCCAAATGAACCATTGTGTCTGGCCAGAGAAGGCTCACACATCTGATCAGAGATAAAATCCATCTACAATGCTTGAAAGGCTGACTTAGTTGCTTACATAGTTTATAAGGGAAAATATCAGTGACTGCTGTAAGAATTTGTGTGTGTGTGTGTGTGTGTGTGTCTGTGTGTCTGTGTGTGTGTACATGGTTGTGGATGTGGCTCAGTGGTTAAGCACCTCTGGGTTAAATATTTAATACTGGTACCCTATCTCCCAAAAAGAAGGAAAATTTAATTACTTGGAAATACATAAATAAATATATTTAATATATAAATGTGTATACTCTTCTAACCTTCTAGGTTCTCAGCTAGGACTCTAACAAAACACAGATTAAAGAGAAAAATAAAGTCTGATAACATGTATAATATCTCAGAAGAAACAGATGAGCAACTCAAAGAGTTATTAAAACTTGGGTTGATGTTTTTCAGAGCAAAACTATAAATAAACAATTTGATTGAGCAAAGAACAATTTAGAAATCCAGCATTCTTTGAACCAGAAGAGGTTCAGAGAAGCCAGTCTACAATAGGAATTATTTTTTTAATTAATTTTTTTATATAACAGTGGAATGCATTACAATTCTTATTACATATATAGAGCTCAATTTCTTATATCTCTGAGTGTATACATAGTATACTCACACCAATTCGTGTCTTCATTCATGTACTTTGGATAATAATGATCATCACATTCAACCATCATTAATTACCCTATGCCCCCTCCCTTCCCCTCCTACCCCTCTGCTCTATCTAGAGTTCATCTATTTCTCCTATGCTCCCTCTCCCTATCCCACTATGAATCAGCTTCCTTATATCAAAGAAAATATTCAGCATTTAGTTTTTTGGGGGATTGGCTAACTTCACTTAGCATTATCTTCTCTAACTCCATCCATTTACCTGCAAATGTCATGATTTTATTCTCTTTTATTGCTGAGTAATAGTCCATTGTGTATATATGCCACATTTTTTTTATCCATTCATCTATTGAAGGACATGTGGGAGAAAAGTTACACTCATACACTGCTGGTGGGACTGCAAATTGGTGCAGCCAATATGGAAAGTAGTATGGAGATTTCTTGGAAAATTGGGAATGGAACCACTCCTCAGTCTATACCTAAAGGACTTTAAAATAGCATACTACAGGAACACAGCCACATCAATGTTTATAGCAGCACAATTCACAATAGCTAAATTGTGGATATAACAGGTATTATTTACAGACAGGAAAAGGAATTGAGCTAGGATGCAGCTTGATTGGTTACAGCTGAGCATTTGCCTTCTTTAAGCAAGAGTCTAATCAGATGATAACCTGCAATCCATTGAAACGTGGCTGCTGTGATTGGCTAAGACTCAACTATTTGTTACAAATGTACACTTTGAACTTGGGTTTTCCCTTTACCTACTAAACAGGGTTGCAGTTCTTTATGGAGGAGCTCAAGAAAGGGAAGCACACGTTTTCCACCCCTCATCCCTGCCAAATTTAATTTAACAATATAACCTCTTGGGGGGGGGGGGGGGGGGGGGGAGGGAGGGAGAGGGAGAGGGAGGGAGAGTTGTTGGAGTTTATGGATGAGGGAGCCAAATTATGAGAAGGCTGTTAGAAATAGTAAAAAGGGTAAATGTGGATATGCACATGTAAGTCAGCATCTCTTCATCAACAAGAGCTCTTGGGATTTAGAGTCACCTTTTCTTCCTGGTGCACAGGAGACACCCTTATCATGGAACATTGCCTTCATACATGTACATCTTCTTTACAAAATGGAAATGTATATTCTGTCTTCAGAGCTTCTCTGGTGTCTGCAACTTCTCAAAATAATCAAACCCAAATAATCATTATGGTAAAAAGGCATATTTGGGGTTAGCACATTCTGGGC